GACCTTTGGAATAAAATGTCTATGTCTGGCCTTGGCATTGGAAGCCCTCCACTACCTGGAAGCACCCTCACTTCTCAGCCTTTTCTTATGTTACTCCTCTCTCTAAGTAATCACACTGAGACTCCTTTATCCCCTCACCATGGCCTGTGGTCTCCTGCCTCTGCTCAGGCCGCTTCCTATGCTGGGCACGTGCTCCCTCCCTCCCTCTCTTTTCTTGTTAAACTCTTACCCATCATTCAAAACCCAGCCCAAATGTCCCCTCTCCCAGAAAGCTTTCCTTAGTGATACTCCCCCCTAAACTTCTCAAAGCACTTTGCTTTAGATCTCCAACACAACACTCAAAAACACAACCCTGGGAGGGGAGTAATCTTCACTTTACAGATGAGAGAACTGAAGCTAATATAATGGTTAAGTGACTTGAACAGGGTCATTAGCTAGTAAGTGTCTTAGAAGGGATTCAAACTAAGGCCAACACACCCTCCATACCATAATACCACTAGGCTGAACCTCTGAAGAGGTTAACAATGAATTTCCTAAAGAGAAGTCAGAAGTTCTGATAAGTGAGGAGGATGGAGCCAAGATGGTGGAGTAAAAGCATGCAGTCTACTGAGTTCTCCCAAATTCCCCTCTACATAATTTTAAAATAACACTTCAAAATGAATTCTGGAGCAGCAGAATCAACCAAAGGAGGGGATGAAACAAATTTCTAGGCCAAGACAATTTAAAAGTTTGACAGGAAAGATTTGTCTTTCTGGGGTGAGAATGAAGTGCAATCTAACACAGGCAGCATCCAGGCAAGCCAGCAGCAGGCCATGGGGGCAACAGAATCAGCAACAGTGGCTTCTGGAGCTCTCAGCCCACAGACACGAAGGGTGTTAGACAGGAGGAGATTACAGGAGACCTTTGTTAGCATTGCAGATGAGACTTCGTTGCATTGCCCACTTGTGGTTCTGGGTTGCAGCCTTAGGGCAATGAAGAGCACTAGCACACTAGAATTTGGGGCTCACAGGAGTGGGGACCCTGGTCACAGCTTCAGGGAACTGTGGAACTATGGAAAAGAATGCTTATGGCTGCTCACACACCAGAACATGGGCCAAAAAAGCAGTGACTGCTCTTCTCCTTAGATCATACCACCTTGGAAGAACTTAAAACTTACAGACCCCCAAAAGGAGGTCTAAGAACAGTAGCACAAATCCCTGAAGTTTAGGACAGTGCCCTCTCCACCATGGGAGCAGAGCCCAACTTTAACATAAAGTTGAAAGTAAAAAATAAAAATAAAAATAAAAGGTGAGAGAAATGAGCAAACAAGTAAAAAAGAACCTGACCACAGAAAGTTACCATGGTGAGAGGGAAGGTCAAAATACAAACTCAGAAGATGACAAAGTCAAAACAGCTATATCCAAAGCCTCAAAGACAAATGTGAATTAGTCTCAGGCCCCAAAAGAATTTCTGGAAGAGCTCAAAAACGATTTTGAAAATCAAGTAAAAGAGGTAGAGGAAAAGTTGGGGGGGGGGAATGAGAATGATGTAAGAAATCATGAAAAAAGAGTCAACATCTTGGTAAAGGAAGCACAAAAAAAGGGGGGGAATATACAAAAATCCATTGAAGAAAACAATTTCTTCAAAAGTAGAATTGGCCAAATGGAAAAGAAGGCACAAAGATTCACTGAAGAAAATAATTCCTTAAAATTAGAATTGGGCAAGTGAAAGCTAATAACTCCACGAGACATTAAGAAACAATAAAACAAAATCAAAATGAAAATGGAAAAACAACTGACCTGGAAAATAGATACAAGGGAGATAATTATTGGACTACCTGAATGCTATGATCAATAAAAGAGCCTAGATATCATCTTTCAAAATTTATTAAGGAAAACTTCCCTAATATCCTAGAACCAGAAGGTAATAGAAATGGATAGAATGAATCCACCAAACATCTCTTAAAAGAGAACCCAAAATGAAGACTCCCAGGAATATTATAGCCAAATTCCAGAGCTCCCAGGTTGAGAAAATATTGCAAGCAGCCAGAAAGAAAGATTCAAATAGTATGGAGCCATGGTGAGCATTACACAGGATCTAGCAGCTTCTACATTAAAGGATCAGAGAGCTTGGAATATGATATTCCAGTGAGCAAAGGAGCTAGGATTACAATCAAGAATCACCTGCCTAGCAAAACTGAGTACAGTTATCCCTTCTATATCATGACTTTCTTTTTTTTTTTTGTAAGGCAATTAGGGTTAAGTGACTTGCCTAGGGTCACACAACTAGTAAGTGTCAAGTATTTGGTCTGAGGCTGGATTTGAACTCAGGTCCTCCTGACTCCAGGACTGGTGTTCTATTCACTGCGCCACCTAGCTGCCCCATCATGACTTTCTTTATCATGGTTTTGATGTATCACATGAGAAATTAAATGGTAATTCTTTGGGAGTTTTGTGGAAGCCATAGACAACATGCAAAGGCCAGCAGATAACACAGAACCTATGACCAAATACTTAACCCAAATTTTATAATAAGTATCATAAATACCCCATAAAAGAAAAAGAAAAAATTTGGACTTCTCCTCTGGTACAAAAAGAGGGCCAAAAAATTTTATGCAGATTTTCCAGATTGAGGGGATGCCGCATCCCTAAACTCCATGATGTTATAAGGACAGCTATAAAATCTTTCAGGGAAAAAATGGATATTTAGGGGCAGCTAGGTGGTGCAATGGATAGAGTACTGGTCCTATAGTCAGGAGGACTTGAGTTCAAATCTAGCCTCAGAGACTTCCTAGCTGTGTGACCCTGGACAAGTTGCTTAACCCTGATGGCCTAAAAAAAAAAAAGGATATTTAATGAAATAGAGGACTTTCAAGAATTCCTGATGGGAAGACCAGAGCTGAACAGAAAATCTGACTTTCAAATATAAGACTCAATGGAAGCAGAAAAAAGTAAACAGGAAAGAGAAATCATAAAGTATTCAATAAGATTAAACTGTTTACATTTCTACATGGGAAGATGATACTTGTAACTCCTATGAATTTTAACAGTATTAGGGCAGTCAGAAGGATTCTACATAGACACAGGTCATGAATGTAGGTTGACTATGATGGGATGATATCTAAAAAAATAAAATTAAGAGGTAAGAAAGAGAGATGCACTGGGAGAAAGGGGAAGAGAGAGGTAGAAGGGTAAATTATCTCACATAAAAGAGGCATGGAAGAGCTTTTTACAGTGGAGGGGAAGATGGGAGAGTAGTGGGCAATGCTTAAACCTTACTCTCATCAGAATTGTCTCAAAGAGGGAATAACATACATGCTCAGTTGGGTATAAAAATCTATCTTACCCTACAGGGAAATAGAAGAGGGGGGATAAGAAAAGGGGTAGGGCTGACAGAAAGCTGGGCAGATTGGGGAGGAATCAGTGGTCAGAAGCAAAACAATTTTGAGGAGGGCCAGGATGAAAGGAGAGAGAGAGAGAGAGAAGGATAAACAGGAGGAAAATTGTATGGAGGGTAATACACAGTAATCATAAAGGTAAAACAATTTTTAGAGCAAGTTTCTCTGCTAAGGGCTTCATTTTTCAAATGTTTAGAGAACTGTGTAAATTTTATAAGAACATAAGTCATTCTCCAATTGATGAATGGTCAAAAGATATGAACAGGCTGTTTTTGGAAGAAGAAATCAAAGCTATCCATATTCATATGAAAAAAATGCTCTAAGTCACTATTGATTAAAGACATGCAAATTAAAACAACATTGTGGGACCACTTCACCTATCAGATTGGCTAATATGACAGAAAAGGAAAATGATAAATGTTGGAGGGGATGTGGGAAAACTGGGACACTAATGCAGTATTGCTGGAGTTGTGGACTGATGCAACCATTCTGAAGAACAATTTGGAACTATCCCGAAAGGGCAATAAAACTGTTTCCCTTTGACTCAGAAATATCACTACTAGGTCTGTAACCCAAAGAGATTTTTTAAAAAGGAAAAAGACCTATATGTACCCAAATATTTATAGTGGCAAAGAACTGGAAATTGAGGGGATGCCCATAAATTGGGGAATGGCTGAACAAGCTGTGGTATATGATTGTGGTAGAAGACTATTGTGCTATAAGAAATAAGCAGGATGCCTTCAGAAAAACTGCAAAGACTTATATGATCTGATGCAGAGTGAAGTGAGCAGAACCAGAACACTGTACACAGAATCAGCAATATTGTAGGATGATTAACTCTGAATGACTTAGCTATTCTCAGCAATAAAATGATCCAAGACAATTCGGAAGGACTAATGATGAAAAATGTTATCCACCCCCAGAGAGAACTCATGGAATCTGAATGTAGATTGAAGTCTATTTTTTTTACTTTATTTTTCTTATTTGGAGTAGGGTTGGGGGGTGTGTGTCTGTGTTTTCTTTTCTAACATAACTAATATGGAAATAGGTTTTGCACAACTGTCCCATATATCAAATTGCTTGCCTTCTCAATGAGCAGGAAGGGGAGAGTGGGAGGGAGAGAATTGGGACCCAAAATTTAAAAAAATGAACATTAAAAATTGTTTTCACATGTAATTGGGAAAAATACTTAAAATATGAAAAAAAGAAGTTTGATAAGTCAGCTGTTCCCTCATGTTGACCAGAGCCAGACCACTAAGTCATTTCCTGGCCATTTCCAAACTATTCTACCTCACAGGTACCCTCCCCCAGCTTCTAGCTTCTCCTTTATGTGTTATCTTTCCCCATTAGAATTGAAGCTCTTTGAGGGCAGTGACAGTCTTGCTTTCTTGTATTTGCATCTCTGGCACTTAGCCCAGTGCCTGGCACATACTCAGTGCAGAAAAATTGCCTGATCACCCTTATCATTACCATGGTCTAAAGACCAGGAATGGGAAGCTAGGCCTCTTCTAGAGGCATAGAGTGGAGTTGGCACAAGCTCCCACCAGGGCCCCTGGCCTAATCCTCCCTAGCCTCCAGGCCCCCGGCCCCATCCGCCTCTTTCCCTGACACTCCCCAGACTCACATCATTGCTGATGGTGGAGTCTCGGTGGATGAGGCGCTGGACATGGCTGTCAATACTGCTTCCCGAGGAGAACTTGGTGAGTGTGGCTGGATGGGCTTCCCGTTCCCGCTGCCGGACCACCACCTCACAGGCCTTCCACTCTGCCAGTACCCGCTGGTATTGGGATGCCACGGCGTCATCCACCTGGACTTGGGGAATACCCAGTGTCATGGTGAGGAGCTGACACAGAGCCCCTTTACCTGGAATCAGCTGCTCCCATCCATCTGGGTACCAGGCCCATACCCAACCCTACCTCCCCCAGGATGATCAGCTTCCCAGGTCTGGGAGTCCAGGGAAAAGGTAGGACTGGGGCAGCCTCAGCTTAGAAGAATCATGTGACTAAAGGTTATTCAGGGACTACACGGTTTAGAGCTTGGAGAAGAACTAGCACAACGTCACCCAAATGGAAGCAGGCCTGGGCTTGAGCCCCAGTCTTCTGTTTCTTTTACTTTGGCAGACTCAGTTCTGAGGCTGCCGTTCCTGGGAGGCTGACGTTATCTGGGAAACCGGGACCCCTGGGGTGAGTGGCCCCGAGCCTTGCCTGAATGGGGATCCCTTCCTGCCTCATTGCCCTGGGTGCCACGTTCCTTCACCTGCTCCATCTCCTTCTTGTTCATGCCAAACTTGTAGTGTCCAAGCAGGAAGGGCCAGACGTCCTTTCGGATCTCATGTTCCACACCCCCATAGTACACTCTCCTCAGAAGCTCCAGCTCCTTGTAGTTCTGAATGTCAGCAAAGGGAGAGGAAGGGAAGAAAGAAGGGAAGGAAAGGAGAAAGAGAAGAAAGGAGAGCAGGAACAAAGGAAAGAAGAGAGGAGAGGGAGGGATGTGAGAGAGAGGGGAGGAAAGGTAGGGAAAGGAAAGGGGAAGAAAGGAAGGAAGGGAGGGGAGAGTAGAATAGGAGAGAAGCAAAGAGGGAGGGGAGAGGAAGGGAAGAAAAAAAGGAGGGAAGAGAGGAGGGGATGGAAGAGGAAGGAAGGGGAGAGGAAGGAGAAAGAGAGGAAGGGATGGAAGAGGCAGGGAGAAGACAGAGGATGAGGTGGGAAGAGAGGAACTACATTGAGGCTCAGATTCCTCCCTCGGGATGGAACCCAACCAGCAGGTTGCATCTAGTTGGTGAGTGGGCAGGTCAGAGAGGATCCTTCTCTTTCCTCACACACCCTCACCCACCTGGGCCCAGGAGGCCCCAGTATCTGCACAGCTAAGGCCTAACTAATGGCACCCAAAATTCTTTTAACAGGACTGAGAGATGAAAGAGATGATCCCTCAGATCATCTCTAGTCCTCTTATTTGACAGAAGAAGAAACTGCAGGCAAGGGGGAGGAAAACAGGTTGTCCAAGGTCACACAGAGAGGTAATGGCAGAACTGTGATCAGAGTTGAGGCCATGTCTCCCTGGAAAGTCAACACAGCCAGACCACTGGACTTCTCAGAAGATTGGCATTCGAAGCCCGGTTCCTGCATGTCCTAGTTGTGTTAGTGGACAATTCATCTGTGTGCCTCGGTTTCCTAATCTGTAGAATGGGGCTAAAAATAATTATAGTGCCTCCTTCAGAGGTCTGTTGGGCTGGAGGTGGGAGGAGCTTCTCACTACCCCATCATTATAGACCAAGGCCAGTTGGTGGTCAAGTGATCTGGGAGAATTCTTCTCACTTCTTCTTCCCTCTCTGTCCTGTAAGGGATCCCATTCCATCTTGGCCATTCTTCCAGACTGGGTAGCTTGCCTCAGACCAAGCTGTTCTCTATCTCCTGGGCACTACCCCCAACTAACCCCTTGTCTCCCCCAACCTTCACCACTCAAAACCCTTCCCAAACCTTCTTATCTTTCTGGTACTTGCTCCACACATCCTTGGTGAGCCCTCCTGAAGCTCCTGGGGGCCGGTCAGGTGGGATGATATTATGATGTACCAGGGCTGACAGGTGGGTCCTGACAGTGGACAGGTGTCGGCAGTATGCCAGCCCTGGTGGGGAGGGGGAGGAGAGGCAGGTAATTTAAAATGGACAGTTCCCAGGATATGGCTCCATAGCCAAAGAGTGGGAGACAGAGAGTGTTTCCCAGGGCAGCCTCCCCTCCCCTCTCCCCTCCCATCTCACTCACATCCATAGAAGGCCCGGGACATGATCTGTCTCTTCATGTTCTCACACAGCAATCTCAGGGGCATTCTGGGGAGAAGAGAGCCATGAGCTCAGTGGAAACAGGCAGGGCATCCCCCTGAGACCAGCTGCTCCAGGTGGGAAAACCCCCTCCTCCTAACTCCCATGCAAACCTCAGGGAGAGACTGTGGCACCATGGAGAGGACACCAGACTTTGGAGTCAGAAGGCCTGGACTCTGCAACTGTGGGGAGCACCACCTGAGCTCTGGCTGGTCGGGGTCCAGGCTTGCTCAGTCACCCTGGGCAGCACACTTCCCTCAGCCTGTCCCACCTGTTACATCTCCTTCTTATTGGGTGACTTTGAGACAAGTCACTTCTCTGGGCCTCAGTTTGTTTCTCTGTAAAAGGGGAGGGGTGGAACTAGATCTCTGAGGTCCCTTCCAGCCCTGAAAGGTCAATTTGGGGAAATCAAGATATGGGCTCCTGCTGCTCACCTTGCTAAGTCCCTGAGAGGGAGGGCTGGCTCTAAGAGCTTCCAGGAGTGTGGTCTCAATCCCCTGGTGCTCAGTGGGAGGAAAGGACCTCCCAGTACCCTTTTCCAATTCTCTGGAGCCCCGGGGGAGTCTGCCTCCTGCTCTTATGGTTCTGTCCTTCCCCAATATCTGAGGCAGAGATCATTCACTTGTCTCTCATAAACAGAACTGGGAAGTATGTATAGCAGGCAAGGAAATCATGATTCATCTTTTCCAATCTAATCCTCATGGCCTGGTCACCAGTGGAGGGCACCCTTGGGCAGTGATTAATTAATAAGGATTTATTAAACATGTACAATATGCTGGGCACTATACTATAGACGCTGTTCCCCCTGGGGCTCTTGGCCTTGAACTTGGGCTCAGGATGTGCTTACAGGGACAGAGGGAGGTCCAGCAGGGGCTCCAGACAGCAGGATGGGATTCTGGTCAATAACTCCAAGGATCAATATAGAAAGGTCTGAAATTTATAGAGATCTAGCCAAGAGCTCGATGAATATGCCCATGAATACGCCACCTCGGTACCTTCTCGGTATGGCAGCCATCCCTAATGTTTCCTGGCTGAATACAGGGTGGAGATTTAGCGGCAGAGGTACAGGGAAACACAAACAAAGGAATAGACTGGAATCATGCAGACAGACATATCCACAAGGAAGTCAACATGGAGACAGACACGGAGACACTGGTGGGGTGCAGTGGGGTAAAGAGGATTGTGCCAGGGCTCAGGAATTCTCCTGACAACTCTGGCTAACTCACTCGGTGACCTCAAGCAAGTCACCATCTTTTAAAGCCTTGGTTTCTCCACCTGTAAAATGGGCATAATAATTCTGTAGTGGAAAAAGCATTGAATTTAGAGGCAGAGGATTCAGGTTTGATTTGTCTCTGCTATTTACTCCCTACCTGAATTTGGGCAAGTTTTTAAAAAAAATTTCTCTGGACCTCAGTTTCCTTATTTGTAAAAGAAATAGACCTAAAAGTCCTTTTGGCTCTAAATCTATGACACAGAATGAAATTTTTTCACTTGGACAAGAAGAAACTTACAGGGAAGAGGATAAGTGTCCTCAGATATTAGAAGGGCTGTTGCGAGACAAAGAGATTGGACTGTGAAGCTTGATCCCAGAGGGGCAACAGATAGAAGTGGTGAAGACAAACTGAAGCTTGACATCAGTGTGATTAATTTTTTTAATGGGATCTGTGATTTCAGCAGAACAAGGAGTTCCTGGAAAGGCTATGGACAGAAAGAAGAAACTTCCCTCACCAATGCAAAGCGACACCACCTCTTCATTTTCTAGGCTTAGACAGTTCTAAACAGTCCCAGAAGTGGGCCTTGAACCTGCATGTTCTTGACTGGAAGGCCATTTCTCTATCCGCTACCTTACGCTGCTTCTCACTTGGCCAGAACAGATGGCAAAAACCAACATTTTTTTCTGCAGACAGATATAATAACAAAAATAAGAATGAGAACTAGGAGAGTGGAGAATGTTGCCTCCTTCTCTCAGCTTTCGTTTGGGTTTAAATTCTTTCGGATAGCCTTCTGAAAAGGATCTTGAGACCAAATGGAATGTCTAGTATATCCAATACAGCAGCCATTAGGGACAGCTAAGTGGCGTAGTAGATAAAGCTCTGGCTTTGGAGTCAGGAGGACCCGAGTTCAAATCTGACCTCAGACACTTGACACTTACTAGCTGTGCAACCCTGAGCAAGTCACTGAACCCCAACTGCCTCACACCCCTCAAAACAAAACAAAAGAATACAGTTGCCATGTTTTGCTTTATTTAGTTTGGGGGTGGGGAGGTATGGTCCTTAGAAAGGACAGGATTTCCATATTCAGTTAAATAGTAATTGCAAGGAATTTCTAACCTTAAGTCAGATAGCTATCTGGTTCCTGGGTGAGTGAAACTGGCTTAGCTCCCAAGAGAATTTCCTAACAATTAGAACTATCTCAAAGTAGAATGGACTGCCTCAGAAGGTAGTGAGTTTCCTCCTTATTGGAACCCTTTAAGCAAAGACTATCCCTGACCCCCTTGCCAGGAGTATTGTAGAGGGAAATCTTGTTCAAGTATTTGATTAGACCAGGTCACTCTTCTGGTGCTGTGATTGCGTAACCCTATAACCAGCCCTGCCTACCAAAAGGGACTTTGATGTTTTGTGTTCCCAAAACAAATGAGCCCGACTGACAGTGCACACCCACTTCCAGGTTCCTGGCGAGCACTCTTGTGCTAGTTCGTAGTTAATAACTCTGCTCTATATGCTTTTCAGATGATGAAAGTAAAGTCACATTGAAAATAAGCACAAACCCACAGGAGAAAAGGTGGTCAGAAAGGATTCAGAAGCACACAAGGCATCTTTGTTACTTGCTTAAAGTTAACACACACACGTAAAAATCATGAATGTTTGAGTGTTTATGGCTTTTGTCGATGTTGTTGACTTCATAATGGAGATGACGAAATTTCAAAAAGAGGCACAATTTGATTCCACAAATGTTTAGTTACTTCCTATGTGCGAGGCGCAAGCTTTCAGAGAGCCTGTGAGCAGCACAATGCTAGGTGTGTCTTACCTCATGCTTTGCACACAGTAGGTGCTCATCACACATTCACTGACTGGTCACATTGAGAGAAGCACAAAGACAAGGAGACAGAAATGGGCACATAGCCTCAGCTGCTCGGAGGCACGCACAAATTCACAGACAGCCATTGAAGGACGCACGCAGATGGAAGGACATCTAGGTGAGGATTAGCAGTTCCTTGATTCGCCACCTACTCCCCCCTCCCCAATATGCCCATGTGTTTCTCAGTCTCCCACCTGGGGTCCAGGCTGTCCCCCGGTCGGGGTGCCACTCACCTGTCCTGTGCACAGCTGCAGTAGTTGGGCGGGCCATAGGGTGAGCCTCTGACAGAGCAGGAGAGGCAGGAGCTGCGGCCACTTGGAGGCTCAAACTGCCAGGCTGGGGGGCTTGGCCCAAAGCCTTGCATCTCAATCATGTCCCCGGCATCTAGGACAAGGGAGTAAGTGACGGGCAGGGCTATCGGTATAGTGTCCCTCCCATGCTGCCCATATTAATAAGGCTGTGTCAGGCCTTGCTGCCTGGAGCTGCAGCTCAGATTCACCCCTTGGCAGAAGACTGGAGGCCTCGGGGGAGGGGAGAGGGGAGTCTCTGCCTAGAGGCCCAGAGGCAGGAAAGATAAAGACAGAGGCTCTTCTATTTTGCCAACTGCATGTTTAATTGTGCTCTTTTTATAGGATTAAATACTCTGGCAGAGAGAGAGAGAGGAAAGCACAGAAAAGTATCCACCTATCTCTTTGGGTTTCACTCTCCAGGGGGTGGAGGAGTAAAGAGGGAATAGTGGGACCCTAAAAAGACCACCTGGTGGCCTGGCCTCTGGAGGATGTGCTTATCCCTCTCAATCTGAGAGGCAGCTGTGGATAGAGAATCAGGAAGACCTGGGTTCAAGTCTTGCCTCAGAGACATACTAACTTGCCAGGTGACCCTGAGCAAGTCACTTAATTTCTCTGTGGTCCCAGGCAACTCTCAATGACTGAAATCGAGAGACTATCTGTGTTGACAGAGGGAGTTTCCCCATTGGGAATGAAATCACAGGTTCAATCTCAAATTAAAACTCCTGGACTAGAACTGAAGAAAAGAGGAGACCAGGGAGCTCTTCTTTTCCTGACATTCAATGGGACACGTTCTCTTCGCTGAGCCTCGCCTGTCATTGGCTTTGAAGCTCATGTGGCCACCTGCCATGATGAAGGGATCACTAATAGAAACTGCTCTAAAGAAGGAAGGAAGGAAGGCTCTTTCCACCAACCCCAGCCTAGTCCCAGAAGCCAAGGCCTTGTCCCTTTTGGAGGAATTCCCAAGGTCATGGGGCTGGTTCTCTTCAGCCAGAGCAAAAAGGAGAGGTCAGTACTCTCTACTCAAGTTTGGGGGCTCCTTTTGTGCTATAGTCTGGTTAGCAGAGGCACCTAGGTGGATAGAGCGCTGGGCCTGGAGTCAGAAAGAGCTCATAGCCAACCTCAGATTAGCTGTGTGACTTCAGGCAAATCCCATAACCTCTGCCTCAGTTTCCTCAGCTGTAAAATGAGGATAATAACAGCACCTGCCTCCTAGGATTGCCATGAGGATCAAATGAGACAGTATTTGTAAAGCTCTTAGCACAGTGCCTGGCAAACAGCAGGTGCTATATAAACGCTGGCCTCTCCTGATCCCTCCAGCAGCCAGGGCCCTCCCTCCGAAAGCTCTGTCATATTCACTTTGGATACATGTCACATTTGTAGGCATTGAGCAAGGTTTACTGGATAAGAGTCGGCCTCAGAGCCAGGAAGATCTGGGTTCAAGTTCCATCTCTGAGGGGACTGTGTGACCCTGGGCAAGTCACTTCTTCACCTCTCTGTGCTCCAGGCATCTCTCTTGGAAGTGGCAGACAGGGTGCCAACCTGCATTGATTGAAGTTTTCTCATTTGGGAATTCCCTATTCCAGTCATATGTCCAGTTCCTATCCCCTCTCCTAAACATTTCTGTAGATGAGTAGAGATTATCTCCTTCGTTAGAATCTAAGTCCTCTGAGGGCAGGCACTGTCTCATTTCTGATTTTGTATCTTTAGCTATTAGCACAGTGCCTGGCATATAGCAAACATTGACTAATGCTTGTTAACTAACTGTTTTATTGGCCTTTTTATCTGGAAGCCTCCAGATGGGCAAAGCCCTCTTGGGATCACTAGAAGGGCCTGCCATAATGCCACCCCAACACAGCTACTCACCAAGTGCTTGGTGCATTAGCGTGCTGGTGGATCTGCTTGCCCCAAGTCTTGTCCCACTTCAGTCCATTCTCCATTCAGCCACTAAAATGAGTTTCCTAAAGCAAAGGTCCCACCATCATGGCACCCTCCTAGTCAATAAACTCCCTATTGCCTCTGGAATCCAATGCAAAATGCTCCATTTGGCATTCAAAGCTCTTCATAACTTAGCTCTCCCTCCTGCCATTGCAATCTTTTTACATCTTACTCCCCACATGTACTCTTCATTCCAGTGACCTGGCCTCCTGGCTGTTCCATGAACAAGGCCTTCCATATCTCAGCTCCAGGCATTCTCTCTGGCTGCCTGGACCTCTCTCCCTCCTATGCTCTGATTACTGACCTCCCTGGCTTCCTTTAAGTCCCAAATAAAATCCTACTGCCTACAGGAAGCCTTCCTTAACCCCTCTTAATTCCAGTGCCTTCCCTAGTTCATTATTTCTTATTTAGCTTGCTTTGTAAATAGTTATTTGTGTATTGTCTCTCCCCTTAGATTGTAAGCTCTTTGAGGGCAGAGATTGTCTTTGGCCTCTTTTTGTATCCCCAGAACTTAGCATATGCTTGGCACATAGTAAGTGCTTAGTAAATGTTCACTGATTGATTAATAATAGAGAGCAAAGTTAGGCAGATATGTCTCCCCTCCAGAACCAGTGCTTGGGATACAATTCATCCTCAAAACTTTCCTTCTAAGCTAAGCAGGGATCATGATGGTAGTGGGGGGGAGGGAAGGGGCACCACTTATAGACCCAATAGTAAGGGAAGAAAGGGAGTAAGAGGATAGATGACGAAAAGAAGGGCAAAGAAAAGGGAAGAAGAGAGAGGAAGAGTGAAGAAAGATTTGTGTAATGGGGCCTGGCTGGAAGAGATGGCTCTATCAGCAGCCGTGAGTTGCCTAGCCTCTACAAAGTGGGTCCTCCCCATCTCTGGAAGTCTTCAAGTGAAGGCTGGAGCGTCTCATGTCAAGGACGCCATAGAGGGGATAATCTTGGTCAATCTGGGTTGGACTAGCTGACTCCCATGGTGCTGTCAATTCTGATTCTAGACAGCACAGTGGCTAGAGTACTGGGCTGGATTAGAGAAACAGGCACTAATTGGCTATGGGATGGAGTCACTGAAACTTTCTCAGCCTCAATTTCCACATCTGTAAAGTGGGGATAATCACAGCACCAACTACGGAGGGTTGGTGAGTGGATCCAGTGAGACAGCCTGTGAAGTGCTTTGTAAGGCAAGCCTTCAAGTACTATATAAATGTGAACTAGTATTGTTATTATTCATAACATTGTGGTTATTAACTACCCAGTTATCTAATGTGTCACTCAGGCTGTGCAGACAACAGGGACACGTGAGCACATTATGGTTCAATCCCTGATGCCTGAGCTTTCTGCATTTGGCGGGAGAGGCTTGGAGGGGCTGAGATGGCAAAGCTGCCTCCTGGCCCCACCAGCACCTGGCCCCACTGTCTGGGCTTCTGACCTTTGTGCAGTCAGGATCTCCAGAAATAGCTGGCCCTTCAACTCCATCAGGAGGCAAATTAAGGGAACAGACTTGGTGAGGATGAGCTGCGGCTCTGGATCAGGTGTGGGGGGTTGGAAGGGTGCAAGCTGTACCTCAAAAAGAGAGGTCAGGATAGCAAAAGGGGAGGGATGTGGACATGGGCCAAGTCCAGCTCATGCACTCTGCAGCAGGAAGCAGCCCCTCAACAGGTAGGAGCAGAGCCTTGGCTAACCAGCCAGCCAGTGGGACAGCAGGAAGCAGGGTCACAGGCAGGGCGGCTCAGGGAGGACCAGAGAAGGAAACTAAGATGAATGCCAAACCAAAGAGGAGAAGACATGCCCAGGCAGTGGGTCCCACCCAAAAAAGTCTCGCGGAAAAATGCTCTTCACCTTAACTCTCCAGGGAGGAGCTGAGCAAGCCAGCAAGTAAGCGTCCCGTCTTGTTATATTTTCAGAATCAACCCACTACACGTAGCTCAAGCTCAGGAGGGACTGGAGTCTTGGGGCCCTCTCAGGGTCAGGGAGTTTTCTCTGTTAGATTTGGTTTCCTCCTCCAAGGATGAGGAAGAGTAGGAGGCAAAAACTGTCAGGCTGGTTGACCCCCACAGCCCCCAGGACTCCGAGTGAAAGGCATCTGGTCTGGCCTAGAATTAGTGTGAACAGCATCTCTGCTCTCAGGGGTTGTGAGCTGGAAGAGTGGAAGGAGAGGCAAGGGCTGGGGGTGGGTGGGAAGAGGAAGGGTGATCTGGACACCCGCCACTTTATCCACATGCACCAAAAGTCAAGCATGTTGCAGAACTCAGAAGCCAAGGCTAGCAAACGGGACACAACAGTGTTGTCATTGTGGACGAGAAGAAGGGAGCACACTAGGGGTGTTGGAAGCCTACTCCTCGCTCTCTTGTGCCAATGCCTGCCCTCCCTGCCTACTTCTGGCCTACCTCAGCTGCTGGTTCCCCATTGCTAAGAAGCTGGAGGGTGAGGGGGTGTGGAATGTATGGTATATATGTGTACGTACATATAAAGGTATAAATGTATATATAAAAAAGTATAAATGTATATATAAGTATAAAGGACAAACCTGCCCCCATCCATACTCCCAGTTCCTCTAGGGCTTACTGAGAGGTTTGCCTTCTCCGCTGGCCTGGGAATAGCCTCTGGAACTCCCAACTCAAAGGATGGATTCCAGGCCAGGGTCCGCCCTAGGCAAAGGACCAGATCTTTTGAAAACTACTTACAACTGGGGATCTGCAGGGACCCTTCCCTCAATCTCTAGCCTTACTGTCTTCTTTCTTTTCCTGCGGAGGGGCCTCCTCTAAGCTCTTTGCAAAACCCTGTAGCCTCTTAATCAGGACCCGCCATATTGCTGGTAGCTCTGGCTATAGAACTGATTCCTGGGGATCTCAGAGTAAGCAAGAAAAACAACCACCAAAAAAAAAAAAACCCCACTAACCTAGCACCAGAAACTCACTCCATCTCTCAGCCTTCTCTCACCTTCAGGACCAGCCAGCCTCAGGGGGTAAGGGGATGCTAACACAGCCTCTAGAAATAAATACCAGCCCACAGGCCCAGGGCCTGAAAGAGACAAGACTGGGGGGAGGGCAGTGAGGGGATAGACATGGGGACTGGCCCTCCGATCTCCCCTTCTCACTAAGCAGGTCACCACCTCTGCAGCCGAGCAGCTTAGAGGGCTGCCTAGAGCATTGAGTGGCCGAGTGACTGGACCAGGACCACACCGCCAGCATGGACTAGAAATGAGACTTAGTCACGGGATCTTAGCTCTGAAGTTGTAAGGGACCTTAGGAGCCTTCTACTCGAACCTGGCCCCCCAGTTTACACATGAAGAAAATGAGGCCCAGAGAGCTGTGATATTGCCCATGGTCACAGGGAATGATGTCCAGGCAGAAGCTGGTTATTTATTCGCTTTGCAGAATTGCCAATAAATAGGGTAATTAACATAAGAAATGGGAGTCTGCTGGCCCACTCAGTGCTGCTTTCCTGCTTCTTTTGGCCTCTATTAGAAGAGTCAGGAAGAGGCAATGTGGTGGGAGGGAGTTTCCTTACTTAGGAGTCCCTAGTAACCATGAAAGAACAGCCCAATTCCCTTAATGATAGCTACCATTTATAGAGCACCTACTATGTGCCAGGCACTGTGCTAAGCATTTTATAATTATTATCTCATTTGATCCTCACAACAACCCTGGGAGGTAGGTGCTATTATTATCCTCATTTTACAGATGAGGAAACTGAGGCAAACAGAAGTTAAGTGACTTGCCCAAGGTCATACAGCTAGTGAGTGTCTGAGGCTGAATTTGAATTCAGGTCTTCTTGACTCCAGGCCCTGAGTTTTATCCATTATACTACCTAGCTGCCTCTTACTGGGCCTTCGTCTAACTAGACGGCCTCTGACATCCCTCAGACTGGTAGAGCTCTTATCTTCTGATCTCTGATCCTTTAAGTCCCACGTCTGATACATATTGGCTGTTACCCTGGACAAGTCACTTATTCCTCTTACAGTGTCTCCAGGCCACTGCCAAAGGCAGAGAAGGAGCAGGATCAGCATTGGTAAAAGAAATTTCCTCACTGGGAGATTTGCTAACACCAACAGAATCACAAGGCTAGACTTAAAAAAAAAAAAGACAAGTAGAAGAGATGGTAAGGTAAGTGAGGTGTGGCAAGACCAGACTTAAGTCACAGGCCAGGTCCTAGGGAGTAGGGCCTATATAAGCTTGAGGCTAGGCCTGGGGCAAAGGAATTGAGGCTTAGACTCTCCTGGGTAGAAAATGGGAAAGGACCAGTTGGCACAACGGTTGGGTGTGGGGTTTGGAGAAAGGAAGGACCATTTCTAGAGGCTGTCTGCTGAGCTACCAAGGCAGACTGAGCCCTGGGAACAGAGGGAAAGGAAGTTAGGCCCAGCCAAGGGGAAGAGTGGTACCTAGGAGTCAGAGGACCTGGGTTCTAATCCTAGCTCTGATGTTTACTACCTGTAGGACACTGGGCAAATACCTTGATGTCTCTGAGACTTAGTTTTCTCAGCTGTTAAATGAAGTGGGCAGGCTAGCCAGTCTCTATCAAAGGGACCTTTCTACTCTAAATCTACGATCCTATGATCTCTAGCTGTCATCACCACCTTTGCTAGAGGCACCCATGTGGCATACAGCCCTGGGCCTGAAGTTGGGAGGGCCTGACTTGAAATCCAGCATCAGACACTTATTAGCTATGTAATCCTGGCCGAGTCATTTAACCTCTTTCTGCCTCAGTTTTTTTGACTGTAAAATGAAGACGATAATAGCACCTGTCTCCTGGGGTTGTTGTAGATAATATCTGTAAAGCTCTTAGCACAGTGCCTGGAACGTAGTATGCGTCTAATAAATCCTTCCTTCCTTTCTCCCTTCCTCTTCACCCCAAACTCTAGAATCCCTCACTGCCTACAAGACTCAGCTCCAGTGCCACTTTTTGCACAAACCCTCTCCTGACCCCTCAGCTGCTTGTGTCCCTCAATTATCTTGTACGCATTTCGCAGATTATATACATTGAATGTTACATCATTGTATTTCTTGTATTATATTACTATGCAATATACGTTGTATATTACATGTATTGTATGTTACATTATTATATTTCTTGAATTATATACAATATACATTGTATATTACAATATTACATGTATTGTATGTTACATTATTATAGTTATTATATCACATTAACATACACTGTATATTGTTTATTCCATGTATATCTTTCCATATGTGTATGTTTTCTCCCTATAAAACATAAGCTCCCTGAAGGCAGGGATGGCTTCATTTTTGTCTCTCTTTCCCTGTTACCCAGCACAGTGCAACGTCTTTTTTCAACCTGATCTGTGATTTCATTAGCATGGCGCTCTCCCAGGGAGATACATCCCCAACCAATGCAGATAGCCTCCGCTGCTGCCAAAGGAGAGAGTCTCAGAGTCTTAGAGTCTCAGAGGGTTGAGTCTTCGATGTTGAGGGACTAGCCCAGGGTCACACGGCTAAGTACATGTCAGAGGCAGGACTGAACCCAGGGCTTCTTGGCTTTAAGGCCAGCTCTCTATCCCTTGTGTCATGCTACCTCACACAGGAGGTACATAATAAATGCTTATTGATTGGCGGGTTAATTCAGAGTGAATGAGCTAGGTATTCCCAAGTCTCTGGTGAAAGTCTGAAATCCACAACAGCAGAAGCTCAGTGGTTTCAAGGCGTGTGCATGTGCATGTGTTTGCGCGTGTGCATGTGTGTGTGTTGGGGAGAGGGAGGTGGGAACACAAAGGACCACCACGAGAAGCCAAGTCAGTGCATTGCTTCCCACTGTACCATCTCTCCCACTGTCAGGTATGTCGGGGGTCCTTACTGCCTCCCCGACAGTTAGGGACCTACTCTAGCAGCATCCTTCCCCGGTTATTGCCTAGTCATTGAACTACATGGCTTCCGAGGTCCCTTACAGCTTAAATCTATTATCCTGTAGGCCATTTATCCTCCCAGGGCCTCAGTTTCCTTATCTTTAAAATGGGGCAGTGGGACTACATAATACTTGTCTCTTCCAGCTTTAAATATATGATCCTATGATCTTAGCTATGTGGCCTTGGGCAAATCACTTCCACCTCTGTGGGCCTCAGTTTCTTCCTCTGTCAAATGAGACCCTCAGACAAGGTGACCCCCCCATTACTAACTAGGTAAAGGGTCAGAGAAGTAATGGGTTGGATGAGGGGAAACAGAAGAAAGGACTAAATTGAAGCTGCCATCATTTTGGCCCCAGACAAAGAAATGGACTGGAAATCTACAGGAGGTTCCCCAAATGTGATGGACAGAGGGCTGACTTTGAAGTTCTGAGACTTGAGTGCGAATTCTGCCCCTGCCCCAGGGACCAAGTAGCTATGCCCTTTCCCTCCCTGGGGCCCTACTTTCCTTCTCTGAGACTAGATGACCTCTGAGGTGGCTTCTGGCTCTAGAGTTATGATCTTTCCCCCATGTTCACCTTCCCCCCAGGTCCAGGCAGACAGTCCCTTCTCTGGTGCAGACGAGGGGAGCGCCTAGGGGGCCGTTCAATGCTGTCATCCCTCCATCCCTCTTCCTCTCCTCTCTCTTCTTGCCGGCCCCATCCACCCTCCTTCCTATTGTCTCTCCCTCTCCTGGCCTCTCTTTGCCTGACTCTCAGGGAGTCCAGTAATGCCAACACTGTTGTGTGAGTCCCTGTAGGTGCTGGCCAGTGGACCCGGTGGAGAGGGAGAAATAGGGCATGGCGGGGGGGGGGTGTCAGGGAGGGACGCGGGATAAAAACCTTTCATCAGATTGGGAGCTGTGAGGTTCCGCGAGCAGATCATTGACAGCATCGCGTGTAGTCTATCCTCCTCTTCCTCATCATCGTCCACCGAGGCCGCGCGGCTGGCAGCTAAGTGGTGGTAGTTAATAGTGACTGCTCAAAGAGAATAGTGAGAGAGGCTTGTGAGGGCCCGGCAGGGAGGGGCTCCAGGGAACGGTGTTCTCCCACACCCCCACCGAGGGGGAGGAGGAGGAGATGTGAAGGAGCTCATTCACTGAGTTGTTTTTTGTGGGGATGGGGTGCAGGAGTTTCAACCCAGCTTTGATGGGGAGGATCTCTCCAACCAGGCAATGCGAGAGAGGATCAAAGTCTTGACAGTGTATGGTGCAAAACTGGGGACAGGGACGGCATAGGGGCAGGCCAGCGCCACTCCAGGTAGTCTAGACAGGTAGCTACATGCTGGGAGGAGAGCCGGGAGATAGAACACTGATCACACCACCAACTCTGGAGTGGTTGGGGTTACACTGGGCAGAGAACGCCCAGAAGACTGAAATCACCAGACAAATACAATATGGCTCCGATCCCTGCCAGCCACTTTAGCTAACCATTCAGGTCTTACGTCAGGGCTGCCCACGAGGAGCTCCTCGGGCTCCTGGCCCAAGCTCTGAGATGTGACTAAAAGACAGAAGATGGAGCAAAGACACCTGGATGATTTATACACTACATCTATTGCCCGTATAAATTCCAGACCTGCAAGCAAAGGTACTTTCTGAAGACGATCTCACCTTCGCCTTTTGCACCCTGGGCTACCCTCCCCCCCCCCCCAACTTGGCCTACAGGGGTTGAGCAGCACGACATCTTAGAAAGCATGTTTGACTTTGGGGCCAGCTAATCTGGCTTTAGATCCTGCCAATACTCACTAGCTGGGTGACCCTGGGCAACCTCTCTAAGCTTCAGTTTCCTCTTCTGTAAAATAGGAACAATGCTATTTGGTCTATTGTGGACCTGAGTTCAAATCCTGCCTCAGATACTCATTAGCCAAACAAGCCTGGGCTGATCACGTAACATCTCCCAGCCTCAGTTTCCTCATTTGTAAAATAGGGATAATGATAGCACAAGTTCTTGTGAGGATCGATTGAGATACCAGTTGCAAATGCTTGGCAAACCTTAAAGCATTATGTAAAAGCTAACAATGATTACTCCTGCTACTACTACTTGCCTTACAAGGTAGCTATTAGGGGAGGGGAGATGGGGACAGCTCTGTAAACCTTCCAAGACCTGGAATTGTGCGCTCCTGTGGTTCTGATTTGCTGCGTTGCTTCTTCCCTTTGCACAGGACAGGCTGAGGGCTCCTAGAGGGGGAGGGCTGGGCTGGAAGTAACAAATGATCTGGGACGGCAGATTCCAGGTTCTTATCTACAAGGCTGGTAGGTCTAGATGAGACAACAAATCTGCTCAGCTCCGGAGCAGCAAGACCAACTCTGAATATTCAAGTCACTGGGGCCTCTTTCTGGCCGGGGCCCCAAAGTGTGCCCCCCTAAGCCCCTGGGGACAGGGATTAGTAGTAAGGTACAAGTTCACCGGACTTGGATCCTTGTGGCGACTCCCTTCTTTCCACTCTCATCCCCCTAGCCCAGCCAAAGGCCAAGTTCACCCGGCAACCTGCCCGCTGTATCAGAGAAGCTGTCGCTGGCAGCTGAGCCACCGCAGAGCTAGGGAGAGAAAGGCAGGCCCTGGCCCTGGCCCTGCGCACAGAGGCACGCACAGGCTTGAAACCACCAAAGACGGCTACCAACCTCACACAGCCAGGGTCTAAAGGAGACTGGGAATTGGAATGAAGGAGAAATTCTACATTCTCGGCCTCCCTTTCCAGCCCTGTTGTAGGGTTTGGTTTTCTCACGTGGAGATGGGAAGGGCAGCTTGCATCTGGACTGTAGGACCTGGCTCAGAATTTTGGGCCTGCTATGTATTAACTGTATGGCTCTGTATCACTCTACCCCTCTCTGAGCCTCGCTTTCCTCCTCTATAAAAATGAGGGACTTCAATGATCCATGAGATCTCTTTCATCTCCAACCTATGAACCTCTGAGCCTGTCTGCTTGTAGGTGGTACCCATGTTCTAAAAAAAAAAAAAGCAACCTGAAGAACAGAAGATAGAACAGAGATGGCTAAGTGGAAGAGGAAGATGGGCACAAAGCACCATTGGGGGCAGAAAGCTATATATAGAACTCATCCATCTGGCTTTGAATCAGCCTAAGGGAACATTCCTCAGGGCTATCTCCTGCCCCCTGTCCTAGCCAGCTCTGCTGAAGAGAACATGAGAAGCCTTAGGCCTGTGTCCTCCTCCCCACCATGAGTGGGAGTGGGGGCACTTACTGTGTTCGTGCCTGTGGCCCGGGTAGATGATCCGGAATACGTAGTCAGTGGCCCGCCCTTCATCCATCACTGTTTCCTCCAGGTCCACAGACCTCATGGAGCTATTCCGCTTCCGCAGCCTGGGGAAGACCTTCCCCTGTGGCAGGAGAGAAGTGCAGGTGGTCAGTGGCCCCTGCCCTTGAACTGATCCCTGGACCTCCTCTTTGGTATGCCAGGATGGACCCATCCCTCTTCCACAGCATCCCTGGCTGAATTCAGCAAAGGAGGAAGGGAGGAAATTGGGTAGGGGTGAAAAGGGAGATCTCCCCCCAACCCCCTCCCCCATCTCCTTGCCCCTCTTTCTGTGCCTCCCTTCTGTGCCCACCCAGGCTCCAATGAGATACCTTTCCCTGCTGGGACCACAGTGGTGGCTCTAGCTGTCCTCGAGGCAGGAGCCCATTCTCCAGGCAGGACAGGAAAGACAAGAGGTGGCCTCCCTGGGGGAAGTGCAAAGGAGGCCTCTGGATACCATCTTGGCTCACCAGCACCAGTGTTCCACCATTCTCTGGAAGAAGGGACAGGAAAGTGGGCATAGGCCTAGAAGACCCCCAAGGAGGGACTCTGCCTTCTGAACTGAATAACTGGCTAGTCAGCTTAGTTGGGCCATATTCCCAGGGCTTGGGATCCAAGTTTGAAAAGAAAGTCTGTAGGTAAGTTGAAGTATTAGCCCTGGAAGTTGCCAGCTCCCAGCTGCCACTACTCCTGACCTAAAAACCGAGGCCTCGGAGGGAGCGGGGAAGGGATCTGAAGACTGTTTTGGAAAGCAGTTGGATTTCCGAAGGTGGTCTCCCTTTCTTTGCTCCTGTGCCTAGGGGCAGGGGGGAGGGATATGGCTTACGTTGCTGGTGGCAGTGGATGCAGACAATTTGGCTGAAGGGCACAATCAGAGCATAGTCCCAGTATACGCTGGAAGGAAACAAGCTGAGTGTTATTGTCGCTGAGGGTCCTCCTCCGGTCCTGTCCACTCTGTCCTTCTATCTTGATACCTGCTTAGCTCCAAAGGCCAAGAGGTGATTTCAACCGGCCATGCGCTGCTGCTATTGCCAATGCCTCCAAATCCCGCATGTAGCAGCCCCAGCCACCCAGTATTGCGGAAACCCTTTGGCGATCAGGACCCTGGAGAGCACAAAACACTTTCCCCTGGGCCCTATCTTCTTCCAAACAGTAGCAGGACTGGAGTCCCTACCTCTTCTCTAGCTCTGAGTCTCCCAGAGTTCCGTTCATGAGCTGGTTGGGGGTCCACTTCAGGGTCAAGCTCTCTGCAGATTGGTGCAAGGACAGGTAGCCAGGGACAGCCTCCATGTCTTCCTTCTATGGAGAGGAGAAAGCCCAAGAAAGGAGAAAGACCTGAGTATCAAAAAGGGAAGGGATGGTCTACAGTATCAAACACTGCTGGAATTTCAAGGAGGATGAGGGCAGAAATAAGGCCACTGGGTTTGGCATTGAGTCGGAGGTCATTAATGGCTTTGTACTACAGAGATTCTCTTGTCAAGAGTCAAGGATAGAAGACAGATTGAAAGGGGCTAAGGACTAAATGGGTGGAAAGGAAGCAGAGGTAGTGAGTAGAGATAGAGGGGAAATCAGGGCAAAGGGAATGGTTGGGTCTTGAGTAGAGAGAGAGAGGAGCCAGTAGAGAATGAAAGCAAGATGCAGTGATTGATGGAGCAGGGTCCCAGAGGAGATGGGAGGGGATAGGGTCATAGAGGTCACCTAGGGACCTTAGAAGTTGTATAGCCCAATATCCTCATTTCACAAATAAGAAATCTGAGTGCAAGTCAAGTGACTTGCCCAAGGTCTCACAGGTAATAAAGTAGCAGAGCCTGGATTTAAACCCAGAAACTCTTCAAATCTCTCACCTATCTTCAGTGTCTCTCCATCTGTTGGCTCCCCCACTTCTGACAAACATGCCCATGTCTCCTCTATCCTCAGCCCCTCCCCAACTTGATCCTTCCATCCACACTATTATCCTGTCTCTCTTTTGCCCTGAAAAGGCAATAGGTGCCTCCACTTCCTTCCCTCTCCCAACCTTACAATCCAAATTCTGATCTCATCATTCAACTGAAACTTCTCTCTCCAAAGTTACCACTGGTCTCTACATGGCCAAGTCCAAGGCCTTTTCTCAGTCTCCTTGACCTCTCTGCAGCCTTTGACCCTGTTGATCACCCTCCTCTCCTTAATACTCTCTTTTCTCTAGGTTTCCAGGACATCACTCATTCCTGCTTCTTCTCCCACCTATCAGAACACTCCTTTTCAGGCTCCTTTGCTAGATTCCTATCCAGCGCATGCCCTTTAACTGTAGGTGTTCTCCAGGGTTCTGTCCTGGGTCTTTTTCTCTTTTCCCTCTATCCTGTTTCACTTGGTGAATTCAGTCGCTCCCATGGATTTCATTACCTTCTCTATGCTGATGATTCTCAAATTTACCCACCCTGTTGACCTCCAGTCTTCCACAGCCAACTGCCTTTCAGACATCCCAAACTGCATGACCAGTAGATATCTTAAACGCAACTCATTATCTTTTCCCCTAAATCCTCCCTTCCACCAACAGCTTCCCTATTACTTCCCTCAGGCTCTCAACCTAGAAGTGACCCTCAAGTGCTCACAATCTCTCACTGTCACATCCAGTCTGTTGTTAAGGTCTATTAATTTTATCTAGGCAACATCTCTTGAACATCCCTTCTCTCCTCTGACACTGCCACCCCTCTAGTGCAGACCCCCATCACCTCACAACTGGATTACTGCAACAGTCGGCTAGTGGGTCCACCTGCCTCAAGTCACTCCCCATTCCAATCCATGTTTTATTCAGCCAACAAAGCCATTTTCCTAAAGTCTGATCACGCCACCCAGCTACACAATAAATTTCATTGGCTTCCTATGCATCCAGGATCAAATACAGAAGTCTCCGGCACTCAAAGCCCTTCATAACCTAGTCACCTCCTACCTTTCCAGTCTTCTTACATCTTACTCCCCTCCACATACTCTTTGACTCAGTCTCTTGGCTATTCTACAAACAAGACATTTCATCTCTCAGTCCCAGGCTCTGGCTGTCTCCCATGCCTGGAATGTTCTTCCTCTTCATTGTCATCTACTGGCTGCCCTGGCTTCCTTTAGGTCCCAACTAAAATCCCATCTTCTACAGGGAGCCTTTCCCAACCTCTCTTAATTCTAGTGTCTTTCCTCTCTTATTATATATATATATATATATATATATATATATATATATATATAAATATATATATATAATATCATAATATGATATATTATATGTATATATATATATATATATAAAAATAATTCTCGTACATAATTGTTTGCTTGTTGTTTCTCCCATTAGATTGTGAACTCCTTGAGGGCAGGAACTGTTTTTTGCTTCTTTTTTTTTGTAACCACAGCACTGTGTAATTGGCACATAGTAGGTACTTAATAAATGCTTATTGATTGACTGACTGATCTAGCATTCTTTCCACTGAAAAGAAAATAGCAAGGGTACAGGTAGAAAGGAAAGCCTTGGCAAGAATAAGGGTTATCTCATCATAGGCAGCTAGGTAGTGTAGTGCGTAGAGAGCACTGGGTCTGGAGTTAGGAAAATCTGAGTTCAAATCCGACTTCAGACACTAGCTGTGTGACCCTGGGCAAGTCGCTTAACTTCTGTTTGCCTCAGTTTCTTCATCTGAAAAAAAGGGAGATAATAATAGCTCCTACCTCCCAGGATTGTGAAAATAAAATTAGATAACAATTGTAAAATACTTAATACAGTGCCTGGCATGTAGTGAATGCTATATAAATGTTAGCTATTATTATCTGATACGGGAGGGAAGAGAAGTTGTGTGAGGACACAGAGAGGCTAAGAGGAGGAGAGTTGAGGGAGTTCACATCAGAGGGCCTTGATTTTCTCAGTTAAATAGCGGACAAGGTCATCTGCCATGTGTGTATGAGCTCTTATTTTTAGGAGCATACAAAAAAAAAAGAGAAAAAGTGATGCTAAAAATGACTAAAATATTCATACTAAAATATTTAACCCTGAGGTCTCACCATGAGGCATGTGCCCTGAAGAGATCAAAGACAGAAAGAGAGGTCCCATATGTACCCAGATATTCATAGCAACAATTTTGTGGTAACAAAGAACTGGAAACAAAGTAGATGCCCATTGACTGGGAAAATGTTCAACATATTGTGGTATCTAGGACCACAGACTGAGAGACTGGAAGGAAACTTTGAGGTCACCAAGTCCAACCCCGCCATTTTACAGTTGAGGAAACTGAGGCCCAGAGAGATTAAGTAAATTGTTCAAAGTAAAAAAAAAAAGTAGCGTTAGTGCTGGGATTTAAACCCTAGTCCTCTGTCTCTTTCCTCTACAACCTACTGCTCTAACAGAATACTATTGAGCCATAAAAAGATGACCATGAAGAATTCAGAGAACCATGGGAAGACTTCTGTTAACTGATACAGAGTGAAGTACACAGAATAAGTAGAACAACAGACATGGTGACTATAAAATATAATTGAATGCTGGATAATTATGCTGGAAACTTAGCCCTGGAAAAGGTTGAGAAAAACACTCCTCTCTCTTCTTTGCTGAGGTGAGGGATTATGGATATAGAATATTGCATATACAGTCAGACTTAGTTGATATGTTTGTTGGTTTTGTTAAACCACTTTTTTCTCCTTTCTTTTTAAAAATTCTCTGTTGCAAGAGATGGTTCATAAGGGAGGAGAGAGAGAGAGAGAGATTTGCAATTGAAAGTGATACATATAAAAAGACAACACAAAATTTTAAAAGATCACCTACCTGGGAGAAAGAAAAGTTAAAAAAAACAACAAGAAAAAACAGTGTAAGAGCCAAGAGAAGGCACATTTACATAAGACATTACAGTTTACAAAGTGCTTTCCTCAGAACAGCCCAGTAAAGCAGGTAATAATAAGAACAGCAGTCTTTTACATGCATATTTGATCTCCACCACCCTGTAAGATGGTTGCTATTATTATCCCTACTTTATTTTGTTACCCCTATTTTACAGATGAGGAAACTGAGACTCAAGAGGTTGACTATCCAGAGTCACACAGTGAGCATGTTCTTGAGGTGGAATTTGAATCCAGGTCTTTCTGACTCCAAAGCCACTAATATTATGCCAAGCAGTTTCTCTTGAGTAGGGCAAGTAGTGCCATTCCTCATCTGTAAAATGAGGCCGTTAGACTAGATGACCTCTAAGGTCCCTTCCATCCATGATTCTATGACCTATGATGCTACGAAACTGAGGCTATGAGATATAATTTGCCCATAGTCACATGGCAAGTATTGGAGCCAGGATTCAAACTCAGTTCTTCTGACTCCAAATACATCACTCTTTTTTATTTTGGGGAGCAACATTTGGGTATGGGAAGCAGACTCAAAATCAGTGAGCCCTCTTCGCCAGGCCATGGGCAATAGGTCTCAAAGACTGGTGGCACTCTGGGGCAGAGAGAGACTTGGATTGAGTGGGTCTGTCTCTCTTCTTCCACCATGGGAGGGCTACCAGGATGTGGGACACTTTCCAAGCCCTCAGCTATGACCAACCTAGCATCACTCAGAATCACCCAGTCAGCCCATTTTCCTCCCTGCTCCCTGTCATGTTCACACTGGCAAGCAGATGCCAACCCAAGGGACCCACTGGGCATCTTGGGCTGGAGGGAGAAGAAGGTGAAGAATCCAAGATCTACACTTCGGGCAGCTTGGAGGAAACCCCAGCTCTCCCTCCTCCTGCCTGCCTGCTTTCTCATGCCATCCGATATCAACCTGCCAGCTGGCACCCACTCCTACCCTGGGTAGCCTGGCTCTTAATTAGCTAGAGTAGATGGCTTCCTTGAGCTCCCTTCTTGCCACAGGCTGGGAGACAAACCCAGCAGGGGCCAGAGTTGTAATGGAAAAGTATCAATTTTTGGAGCCAAAGGACCCAAGTTCAAATCCTGACTCTGCCACTTACTGCCTATATCATGACCTTGGGCAAGTACTTAACGTCTCTGGTCCTCAGTCTCCTCCTCTGTAAAATGGGAGGATGGGCCAGACGGTCTCTAAGGTCCTTCCAGTTCCAGATCTGGGAAGTCTCTCCTTTCTCCCCACACATCATTGCTTGAGTCTTCTAGGAAGGGACACCTTTGGGAAATTTTAATGACAACTTATGGCCCCAGAGAAGAGTTAAACTCTTACTACCATAAATTACCTTATTCCCTTCACTGTAGAGATGGGAGACATGGAGGACTATGGGTGGGAAATATTACATACAGTATCAGATATGGTCAAATGTCCTTTTTTGGGTTAAATTAGTCTCATCTTAAAATTTTTATTATAAAGGATGGATCATTGGGCAAGAAGGGAATATATTTGGAAATGAATGTGATGTAAAAGCAAAAGGCATCAATAAAAATGACATTTTACAAAATTAAAAAGAAAACATGATTCTTGATTCTAGGGTCCCTGAGGAGCAAGATCTCAGAGGAAAGAAAGGTACATGGGATCATAGCCAGGGTGGCCTCCAGAGCCCTACCCACCTACCCAGGTCTGTCTGGGGTCCGGGCTTTGGCCGAGGAGCCCAACGGTAAGGAAAGGGGGCTCATCTCCTGCCCACTCCAGCAGCAGCAAAGACACTCTGGACATGAGGCCATTCAAGGTCCTGGCCAAAGCTTTTCAGGTCCCTGCCACATCCCTTCTTGCTCAACAAGACATCAGTCCCTCGGGACCTTTCCAAGGTACTTCCCCCCACCCACTTCCCTGATATGGGCAGCCAGGATCTCGGCTCTCTCTCACCGGCTGTACCAGCACATTGTTCTTGCCATAGAGCAAGTGTGTCCGGGAATTCTGATGAAGGGACTCCACGTATTCACGAGCTGAGGCTGCAAACCGGTCTTCTGAAGCACTCCCACTGGAATGTCGCTTGCGGACCTGTAGAGAGAAGCTTTGCTAGCAGTAAGGCTCTCGTCCCTGAAGCCCCTGGCCTGGGCATCCTGGGAGAGAAGGTAGCATCACCGGAGGCTTCCCTTTCCTGTCTCTCCTTTGCGGCCACACTGGATCCTTCTCTCCTTCAAGGCTCCCCCTCCCAGAAGCTGCCACAGCTATTGGACAATCTATGCTCCTGGCTCAGAGACAACCCCCCAACTTGGAGCTCCAACAAAGCACTGGAGTGGGGGGGGAGGGTCAGTGCCCTTGTGAGAAGAACCCTACCTATAGATACAGATCCCTTCTCTCTGAAGGCCTTTGGCCGGGGGCAGGAAGGGGAGAGTGACTTGGGATGTGGGCAGAAAGGAAACCTACTCCCAGGGCTGGACGCTTGGAGGGCGAGTCCTGGCGGCCATGGGGGCCACGGATGCGGTGCCTCTGGACCAGCTCATCAGCAGAAGGATCTGTCCAGTAGTGGTCTGCCGTCTTCAGCTTGGTATACTCCAGAGCACAGGGCCCCACTGTGGGGACAGGAACAGCCGGGATCCTGAAGATAATCTTGGAACAGGGGCGGGAGGACCACATCCCTCCCTGCCACAGGGGAGGCCCTGGCACCACAACCCCGCCCCGCCCCCCACTCACCTAAGAGAGAGGCGAGGATGGGGCCAAGCACAGGGTCTGCCAGAAGTGCTTCCTTCTCATAGTATTTGCTATTCAGAAGAGAGGGGAGGAGTGAGCGCAGGACCTCTGCCTGGCTCACCCGCTTACTCTCTCTCCAAGGAGGCAAATGTGTTGAGGAGGGAGATGGGAAAGCAGGATAGAGGGGGACAATGTGGAGTGGTGGAGAGCGGGAGGGACTAGGAGAGAAGAAGCCACCTCTGACACATCCCAGCTGTATGAGGGGACCATTGATCAATCAGTGAGCATCTATTAGGAGGACAAACTGGGGTTACAGAGTCAAACATGAAGAGTCTTTGCCCTCAACCGATTAACAAGCATTTTAAAGTGCCTACTATGTATATGCCAGGCACTGTGCTAGGGATACAAAATGAAAAATGAGACACGTCCTGCCCTCAAGGAGCTTACATTCTAGCAGGCAAGTAATTTCATTTCCCTGAGCCTCAGTTTCTGTATCTGTAAAATGGGGATCATAATACCCAGATCACGTATCTTACAAAGTCATTGTGAAGCTCAAAAGAAGTTTTTTGTTTGTTTCCTTTAACCTTAAATTCCTGAGGAGGAAGCTTCCTTCACACCAGTGCAGAGCAGTACTACAGAACTGCTTGGGGGACTTACCCCAACACCATGCAACCAGTAGGTGTCAGAGGCAGGGCCATTAAGAGATTATGCTGTGGGCAGCTAGGTGGTGCCATAGTGCACAGAGCACCAGGTCTCAGGTCTGGCCCCAGACACTCACTAGCTGTGTGAGACCCTGGACAAGTCACTTGATCCTGTCTGTCTCAGTTTCCTCATCTGTAAAATGAGCTGGAGAAGGAAATGACAAACCGCTCTACTACTTCTGCCAAGGAAACCCCAAATGGGGTCATGAAGAGGCGGACATGACTGAAACTACTGAACGACAAAAATGCTGGGCCCACAAAATCAAAAATGAAGGTGTCGGAGGCAGGACTTGAATTCAGGTCTTCTTGATTCCACAGCTGCCGGTCGTCTTTTCATGCTAAAAAGCTGGCTCTCGATCATGATGATGATCAAAACAACAAATAGCGTTAATGTTACACCTTAAGGTGGCATCTTGTCTGATCCTCACAAACTTGTGAAGGATGTGCTATTAGCATCTTCATTTTACAGAGGAGAAAATGAGGCTCTGAAAGGACAGTGACTTGCTCAAGGTGTCACAGCCGGTAAGTATCTGAGGCAGGGTTGGACCACAGGTCCGACTCCACGGCCAATATTCCATCCACTGCTCCACCTAGCTTCCTTTAAGAGAAGGCATATAAAAAGCACACCAAAAAGGGAGGTAGAAAGTAGATAGTATACAGAACACTCCTACAGTCCTAGGTCCTCTTAGGTTGTCATTTGGTCAACAGCTCTGGTTGTTAGGAGACCAAAACACTGTGACAGCTGCTTAGGAGGTCCAGCTCTAAATGGAGCCAGCCCCGTCATCCATGGCTATCAGTACATGGGGAGAAGAGGAGGAGGAGGAGGTGGAAGAGGAAGAGGAGAGAAGAAAGAAGATGAAGACAAAGAGGAGGAGGAGGAAGAGGAGGAAGAGGAGGAGGAGGAGGAGGAGGAGGATGACAGTGGATTAGAGCATAAATGTGTTTAATCATAGAAGGTTTTCTGGATGGAAACTTCAGATCATAGGAACAAAGAGGGAGGGAGTGGTACGGGCGGGGCAGCACTCACCTGCAGTTCTCCACTATATACTGCACAACTCTGTCTAGCACCTTCTCAATGAGGGCGGTGCGCACCCAAATGTGCCTCAGGGCCTGGGGGCTGAGGGTTGGGGGCTTTCCTCCAGTTGAGCCCTGTCTCCGAAGGGTCTCCTGGTTGCCTCCTGCTGACTTCCTGAGTGGAGTGAAATGGGGGCACTCAGGGACAAGAGCAAGCCTGGGAGGGAGGCTCTCTTGGGAACAGAGGCCTCTGACTTATCCCACTGTCTGAGCTGTGTGGAGAGGACGTGACCAAGAGTGAACTTTGCAGTGAAAAAGGTTGGTAAGGCATTGGAAGCTGATGTGATCTTGGATTTAGAGCTGGTAGAGACCTTAGAAGTCAACGAGTCCAACTTCCAAGTGACTTGGCCATGTTCACCCAGGTATAAGTGGCAGGGCTGGGACATGCACCCAGGCTCCAAATTTCAGGTCCTTTTCACTGGACCATGCTGCATCTCTTTCCTGGGCAGACCCAGTGAAAAAGATAGGGACAGCTTCGTTACAGCCACCCGGGCAATGACAGCTCACAGGTGGGGCCAGCTGCCTTCCTAGAGGGGAGGTGGGAGGGAGAGCTGAAGGGAGGGGCATGGGGGTAGGCCTAGAGCTCACCTGCTCTCCACCTGCTGCTGCAGCTCCTGGACCTTTCGGCAGACCTCTCCAGCTACCACACAGGTCTTCCCCACTTTGGTGAAGAGAGCCGCCATCTTGTCACTGCGCAGGAAGCCTGCAGCCCGGCGCCTCAGCTGATGCAGTAGGCAGGTCTCTACCACACCTGTGGAAGAGGAAGACATGACCAAAAAACTCCTCCTCTCCTCCCCATCTCACATCACTCAAATCCCTTCTCTCACCCATTTCCTACAAAGAGGCAGCCCTTCTCCTTGCCACCTCTACATGTCCAAGTGATCCTATCCTACCCTGCCTTCTTCATCAGACTGATCCTTCAATCATTACCATTCTCCTTTATTTTCAGTTGCTCCCTGTCTACTGGCTGCTCTCTACTGCCTCAAATATGCCCATGTCTTCCCCGTCCTCAAAGAACCCTCACTCTTTATGTGCTCATCCCTGCTAGCTATCATCCTATAGCTCTTTTTTTATGGCTAAATTCTTGGAAAAGGCCATTGACAATCAATGCTCTCAACTTAGTTTCCTTTTACTCTCCTAACTTTCTATACTCTGGCTTCCCACCTCATCATTCAAGTGAAATTGCTCTACTAAGTTACCAATGATCTCTTAGTTGCCAAATCCAATGTGTTTTTTTCAATTCTCAACCTTCTTGACCTCTCCACAGCCTTTGACACTATTGGTCACTTTCTCCTCCTTGGTACTCTCTTTTCTCTAGGTTTTTGAGATACTACTTTCTTCTGGCTCTCCTCCTACCTATCAGACTGTTCCTTCTCAGTCTCCTTTGCTAGATTTTCATCCAGGTCACATCTTCTAATTTTGGGTGTCCCACAGGGCTCTGTCCTTGTCTTTCTTCTCTTCTCCCTCTATAATATGTCACTTGGTGATCTCATCAGCTCCCATGGATTCAATTATCATCTTTACACTAATGATTCTCAGATCTACTTATTCAGCCCTAACTTCTGTAACTACACATTTATCTTTAATTGCCTATTGGATATGTCTATCTGGATGTCTTATAGACATCTTAAACTGAACATGTTCAAAACTAAATTCATTGTCTCTCCTTCTTCCCATACTTTCTCCCCTTCTGGACTTCCCTATTACTCTTGAAGCCATCATCATCTGTCCAGTTACCCAGGCTTGCAGGTTAGGCATCGTCCTTGACTCTTCACTCTCACTTACCGCCACCCCCCCATCCAATCTATTGCCAAGTCCTGTCGATTTTAGCTTCACACCATCTCTGGTAAAGGCACCCTTCTCTCCCTTATCACTGCTGCCATGCTGGTACAGGCTCTCTTCACCTCACATCTGGGCTACCCCAACAGCCCTTGTCTGGTCTCCCTCCACCCCATTCCATCATCTACTCAATTATCAAATTAATTTCCCTACGGCACAGGTCTGACCAAATCACCTTCCTATTTGATAAACCGTAGCAGCTTCCTATCATTAACAGGATCAAATGTAAAAACCCTTTGTTTGGCATTCAAAGCTCTTCATAACCTGGCCCCTTTTTACCTTTCTAGTTTTCTTATGCAATATGCTCTCCTGCCCCATCATGTACTCTTTGACCAGGGACACTGGCCTCCTTACTCTTCCTCACACAAGATATTCCATCTCCAGATAGAATAGAGATTCCATCTCCAGACTCTAGTCACTTGCTTTTTGGAGGCAATTGGGGTGAAGTGACTTTCCCAGGGTTATACAACTAGTAAGTGTCTGGGGCCAAATTTGAATTCAGGTCTTCCTGCCTTCAGGCTCAGTGTTCTATCCATTGTGCCACCCATATGCCCCCCTCCATCCATGCACTTTCTCTGACTATACTAGAATTCACTATTTGGAATGCTCTCCTTCCTCATTTCTACTTTGTGGCTTCTCTCAAGTTCCAGCTAAAATCCTACCTTCTACAAGATGCCTTTCCTCCTTTTTTTTTTTTTAAGGCAATGGGGGTTAAGTGACTTGCCCAGGGTCACACAGCTAGGAAGTGTCAAGTGTTTGGTCTGAGGCTGGATTTGAACTCAGGTCCTCCTGACTTCAGAGTTGGTGCTCTATCCACTATGCCACCTAGCTGCCCCGACGCCTTTCCTCTCAATGCTAGTGCCTTCCCTTTGCTGATCATCTCCAATTTATCCTGTACGGATCTTGCTTCTACATAGTTGTTTCCCCATTAGACTGTGATCTCCTTAAGAAGAGGGACTATCTTTTGCCTTTCTTTGTATCCCCAGTGTTTAGCACAATGCCTGGCAAAAAGTAGGCACTTAATAAATACTTGTTGATGGCCTGACTCACTGACAGACAGAGGCACCCAGCACTTTTCCTGCCTTCTTCTAAGAACCAAGGGCTTCCTAGGCTCATCCTAGAGTGACAGAAGGAGGAGATGCCTACTCACTGAGGAAAAGAGAACAGCTGGACAACTTGTAGCATATTCATGTGATAAAATGTGTATAACAACACCATAAGAATGAACAACTAAGAAAGCCTCAAGAATTCTAATGAATTCAATGATCCACCATGATTCCAGAGGACCTGTGATGAAACATGTCACTCACCTCCCGAGAGCGAGAGAGAAGACGCAGAATATCACATAGTTTTTCGGCCATGGAAAATGTGGGAATTTGTTTTTATGTATATTCATTACAAGGGCTTTGTTTTCCTTTTTCTTTTTTTTTTTCCCCATGAGGAGGGTGGAAGGTGAAAATAAGTGCTTGTTAATTGAAAATTTTTAATTTTTTTTTTTAAAAAGAGGTAGGGAGGGGTATTTTCACAGAATCTCACACTTGGAAGATTTCTCAGGGCCAAGTTATCCAATTCACATCTGACCCAAAGTGAATTTGACATCATCCCTGACTAGTCCATTTTGCCTCACCCAGCATCCAGACCATGGACCTGTTTATAGAATTCCAGTGATGCAGAGTCCATTGTCAGACAGCTCTTATTGGTCTAGAGCATCAGAATAAATGCATTCAGAGCTGGGAGGGAATCTGGAAGCCATTCATTTTACAGATTAGGAAACTGAAGATGTGGGATTTGAACCTGTCCTCTGATATCAAATTCAGCATGCTTTCCACTGTACCATGGATATTTCACTCTTGGATATATGCCCTACCCAGCCCATTCTCTTCCCACAGCTTAGGGAAAGAAAGAGCCCAGCAGAAATGTGCTTAGATGGGGCCCTGCCGTCCTCTCCCTGCTTATGGGTCCAAATGCTCCATTTCTGCTCATGCTCTGTGGCAGGGTGGGCCCCCTCCACCTCCGTTCCCTTCCTCCCACCAGCATATTCAACTGGCATTTGGGGACATGGGAGCAGGGAGCGTGTGAGCAGATCCGTCTCCTCTGCTTATCTGCATCCCCCGGGGAGGGGAATATGGCGGGCAGTGTCAGAAACAAAGGGCACAGGGAGCAGCAGAAACGAGCCGGGCCTCCCAGGGCCCATGGATACTGGCGTTGCTAAGGAACCAGACTCTGGAGGAACCATAAAATATTGATGGAGCCGATGCCGTGGTGATCAGGACTGACAACAGCTCTTTCATTATTGATGAGCAGCAGCAGCAAAGCAAGAGGAGGTTTCCAAGCCCACTGGGGCTGTTTTTAAAGGGATGATTTAGGGGAAAGACTGAATCTCTCCCTCTAGACATTGCTTACCACAGCTTCAAAGAAATGGCGGACAGGCTAGGGGCTGGGGATTGGAAGGACTAGGATTCTATCCACTTTTGTGGGGTAAAATACTACTCACAGATTGTTCAATCCAAAAGGGAGCTTAGAGCTTCAGCCCAACTGCCTCCTTTACAAAGAAGTTCAAATCAGGGAAGTGACTTGGCTGAGGTCCCCCATAGCTAGCTAGCTTTAGACCCTGACCACTCTGTGTCTGCCTCAGGGTACATCTGTGTGTGATTGTGGGTTTTTAATCTGTCTACGAACATTTGTGCTTATACACACATAAGTATCCATCAGTCCCACTGTATTTGTACATGTTCCTGACAAATATGTGTTCATGGGCAAGTATTAGGGAGAAAGATAGACCCATAGCTCTAGAGCTGGAAGAGACCACAGAAGCCAACTAGTTCAACTCTCTTGTTTTACAGATGAGGAAACTGAGGCACAAAGAGTTTAAGTGACTTGCCTAAGGTCACACAAGTAGTAAAGGGAATCATAGATTTATAGCTTGAGGGGACAATGAGGTCATTTAGTCCAAACTCCTCATTTTACAGAAGCAGAAACAAGAGCTAAGTGACTTTCCCAGGGACACACAAAAAGTAAGTGATAGAGGAAGGATCTGAGCCAAGGAGGATTTTGTCTTCATTGACTCCTTCCCCTAATTATATTGATCCACTGCCATGAAGCCCCTGTGATAGGGCTGGAGGTCTGGGTAGCTCTGGCTCAAAGAAAGCACCTATCCTTCAGGTCGCTGTCCAGCAGTGACTTGAGCTAACACTGGCTCCCCATAGCCACTCTTCCAGATCAGGAAGAGCAGTCAGGTGGAGGGGGCAGTGCTGAATACTGTCCTTCGCTGCCAGAGCAAAGGCAGGTGGCACCAATTTGCAGCAAACACAAGGATGTGACTAATTGACAGGATAATGACTCATTAGTCTCCCCACCTTCCCTAGGGTGCAGACAAATGGCTAGAGGCAGAGCAGGAGAAGTGGGGAACCAAGTGGCTTGGCTTCATGCGCAGCCCATTGAGCCCCACCCATTACACAGGGGCTGAGAGGACAGCCATGATTCTCTTGAGAATCCAGGTCTGTGCCTGGCCAATTGTTTCCAGTTGAGAAGCAATTCTTTCCAAGGCTGGAACCACAAATAATTTCCCCCTTTCTCCACCACCAGCCACATGCTCTTTAGGAAGATGGTGGCAATGTGGGAGCTCTTCCTTAGCCCATATCTATCATTCTCTATCTTCCTCCATCACTGTGGCAATGATGAGTATAAAAAACAATCATCTATGACTGCACCTTATACCCACGATATTGTATGATCCTTGTAGAATAAGTCCTAAGGTTGGAGGCATTGCACTGGAGCTCAAAATCCAGACCTGCCAGTAGGACCTTGGGCAAGTCACTTGATTACTCCTCCCTGGGCCTCAGTTTCCTCCTCTGTAAAATGAGGAGGTTGGATTAGATAGCCTCTGAGCTCTCTCCCAGCTCTAGAGCTGGG